ATGTGGTGGGGCCTCTCTGGGTGATGGCCTACTCGGGAGCTGGGTCCTTCCCCTTGGGGCTCAAAAAGAGGATCTGCCCAGCCAGGGAGAACCAAAGCCCCGCCAAGACTCAGGCTGACCAGGCCAATGAAGGGGTTGCCTGGAGGCCTCCTGATCGGGTCATTCAAAGTACCAGTTGGGGTTAGGCTCCCTCTGCCCCCAGGCTGGTCCCCTTCACCTGGAGACCCCACGTGATGCCCCTATTTGCGGCCACCAATTTATTTTCTTCCCCTCAACCGGGGTGGTAGGAACAAGGCCTTTCCCACAATGGGGAAAGACGAGGGCCCTTGAATGCTTTAAGTGGTTCTCCTGCGTATTGCATAGGGTTGGACCAGGTCATTCTTGTGATTGTTTCCAAGTTTCCGATTTTATGTTTTTAGAAAGTCCAACATCTGGACAAGCCCAGGCCTCTTAATGGATTGCAGCCCCCCAAGACACAAATCAGTACCAAATGTCTGTTTAAAGTAGTTTTTAGAGTTAGGGTTTTTAGAGTTTGGTGTGTTATTCTATATTTTATTGTCTGTGCTTTTATCCAGACTGTATTTTTAGTATGTTCTACTGTATTGTAAACTGCCCAGAGAATTTTGGTTGTTGAGTGGTTTAAAGACTTTTAGTAATAAATAATAAATAACTTTGGTGACAATAAGGGACTACAAAGACCTTCAAAGGGATCTCTGCACATTAGGGGAGTGGATGTCATAATGGCAGATGTTATTCAATGTGAGCAAGTGAAAAGGGATGGACACTGATGCCAAAGATCCTAACTACTCATAGAAACTATTGGGATCAGAGCTAGCAGTGACCGATGAGGAAAGAGATCATGGAAAAGTAGTAGACAGTTCAATGAAAGTGTCAATACTGTAAAAAAGGGCCAACAGCCTGTTAGGGATAAGAAGAAACAGTACTGAAAATAGAGAAGCCAACATCATAATGTCCTTATATAAGTCAGTGGTGCGACCAGATCTGGAATATTGTATGCAGTTCTGGTCACCACGTTTCAATGAGGATATAGCGGAGCTGGAGAAGGTTCAGAGGAGGGCAACGAAGATGATCCAGGGGCTGAAGCAGCTTCCCTAGGAGGAAAGTCTGTGACATTGGGCTTTCTAGTCTAGAAAGGAGGTGGACAAAATGGACATGATCGAGGTGCACCAAATTACGCCCGGCGTGGATAAAGTGGTCAAGGAGAAGCTACTTTCCCCTTCCCAAAATACTAGAACCAGAGGTCATGCAATGAAACTGAACCCTGGAAGAATCAGGACAGGCAAAGGGAACTATTTAAGTAATCCAGTGTTGGAATTTGGTAGCACAGGATGGGGTGCTGGCTACCAGCTTGGCTGGCTTCTGAAAAGGGTTGGACCGACTCATGGAAGTCCTCGGGATCCAGGGCTCTTAGCCTTGTTGGCAGTGCGACTGTCTCTGAAGGCCATCTACTGGGAGACTAGTGGATTTGTATGTATGGGGGCACAGAGAGAACTGCTCCTGTCTGTGCTCCTGCACTCGGAAGATGCCGGTCACAGGTGCTGGCGAAACGTTA